AAATATCAAATTTCCAAACTCGATTTGAATTTTTAATTTAAATATTTTGATTATTTTAAAGCTCTATTGCTTGAACAAGAGAGTTTTTGACATAGCTTCAAAGTTCAAATTTTTGGTTTTTGAAGTAAAAGTTAAAATTTAAAAACTCAAACATTTAAAATACCATAATCGTTTTTGGAAATTTGAATTTTGAAAATTTAAAGCAAAAATCTAAAACGTTGAAATTTTTAAACTTGTTTGGAAACTTGAAAGTTTAGGTTTTTGAACTAAAATATAAAATTTCAAAGCACTAAAATTTCTAATTTAGAAATTTGAACTGTTATATTAAAATATTAAAATTCTAAATCATTTCAGATTTGAATTATAAAGTGTTAGACGCCGGACCAAAATAATATACACTAAGGAAAAAAATTGTCCGTATTTCGCAAAAAAAATTCCTTCATATACTTATATTTATATATTAATTTGCATAAAATCCCCCTTTTTACAACTACAATATATAAGCAAAATTTAACAGATTAATAGCTAGGCATTTGCATAAATTAACATTAAATTATTTTGAAATCCGTAAATATACATAAATAATAAAAGATTTAAACAAATCGGTACAAGTTAGCTAACATTTGCAAAAAATTAAATTATTGTATATTAAATTTTTTAAAATTTGCAAAAAAATTATGAATTCAATATCACACCTTTCAAATTTCTTTATTTGTCAAGTTTACACAAATTTGCATAAAACGATCCGACAAACATAAATTTGCAAAAAATAAGGCGATATCCATGAATTAAGTTTCTTTTGCACAAGCTTCATTTGCATTAGCTTCATTTTCGCTTTTCTGCATTAAAGTAACTTCATTTGCATAAATTAGCTTCATTTCAGCGCTTTTGCATAAAATTAGCTTAATTTGCATAAATCAGCATAAAATTAATTCATTTCCCCATAAATTAGCTTCATTAGCATAAATTAGCCTCATTTTAGCACTTTTTGCATAAAATTAGCTTCATTAGCATAAATTAGCATAAAATTACCCTCATTTTAGCACTTTTTGCATAAGATTAGCTTCATTAGCATAAATTAGCATAAAATTAGCCCGATTTTAGTGTTTTTGCATAAAATTAGCTTCATTAGCATAAATTTGCATAAAATTAGCTTCATTAGCATAAATTTGCATAAAATTAGCTTCATTTGCATAAATTTGCATAAAATTAGCTTCATTAGCATAAATTAACGGAAGATTAGCACAAATTTTATGCAAATGAAGCTAATTTTATGCAAATTTATGCAAATGAAGCTAATTTTATGCAAATGAAGCTAATTTTATGCAAATTTATGCAAATGAAGCTAATTTTATGCAAATTTATGCAAATGAAGCTAATTTTATGCAAAAACGCCAAAATGAGGTTAATTTATGCTTATTATGCAAATAAATCTAATTTTATGCTAATTTATGCTAATAAAGCTAATTTTATGCAAGAAGCGCGAAAATGAAAAAAGAAATTAAAAATAATAAAAAGTAAGAATAAAAAATGTAAATTTCTGCAATTGATACTATTTTTTTTAAATCTACGCTTATTAATGTAAATGAAACTAATTTTATGCAAATTTATAAAAAAAAAAAAAAAAAAAAAAAAAAGCTAATTTATGAAAACTAATCTTTCAATTATGCTAATTTTATGCAAATTGAAATGAATAAAACGTATTTTATGCAGATTTATAAATGTTTATTAGTAAATTTACTTTAATTTATGCTTTGGTAGTTTCGTGTGCTAAATATATATATCCTCATTTATTGAAATTTTCAGCTGATTTATCAAGATTTAAAAAATATTTTTATATGCAAATTAATTGCACTAAATGTATGTAGATTTTAAAGTGTAGATTGGTTTAAATATTTCGTAAATTTTTACAAATGGAAAAATTTGTAGCTAGTACTGTTTATTTATGCCAACTATTAGTAAAGCATTTATATTTTTGGCATTTTTGTGCAAATTTTAAAGTTTAAAAAAATTATGCAGATTTTGAGAAAAAAAATTTCTACGTTAGCACATAAATTATATCATTATTTTTTTATATATATATAAAATTAAGCTAATTGCTAAATTTCATATGCTAATAACATTTTATGTTAAAATAATGATTACAATTTTTTTTTTATTATTATTATTTTTTTTTCATTTTACAGATTCACGGAATTTTATTTAAGATTTACTGCATACTTTATTCCAATTCAAAATCAATCATTTTTATACAAAAATTCATTTTGAGATAAAAAAAATAGTATGTAGCATTTGCAAAGTTTCAAAAACTCTGAGACTCATACATGAATTTTATTTTTTTTTCAAATCAATAAAATATGCTAAAGATTGCATAAGAATATTCTTTGATTTGAAATTTATTTCACAGAAATCTTATATTTATTACATCTGCACAATATTTTGAACGTAACCCCGCATAATTCATATTTTGAAAAAAAAAATCAAACTCTATGAAGTTAAATATTTTTGTTCAAAATTCTAAACTTTAAGAACATAAATTGATTAGATATTTTAAGGTTTAAAAAAATATCATATACTTACTTAAAATTTTAGTTCCCAAAAACCAATTTTTGCATTTAATTCTTTGCTTTCAAAAACTATTAATTAGTTAGAAAACTTATGATGAATGTTTTGTACAGTACTTACATTGTAACACTATGAATTTCGAAAATTATTTAGCATTTTAGAAATTAGCAAGTAGATTGAAAATTTTCAGTTTAAAACAAGAGAATATAAAGCACCCGAAACCGAATTTTGTGTTTAAATTTTGTTATTTAAAAAAAAAAATGTTGTTTAATTAGAAAATTTGAATTCTGTACCGATTTTTATCTGTTACTAATTTAAAATTTACTTTATTCTTTAAAGTTCAACATGAAAAAAAACTTTACTATTATTCGACATCATGCAACTTTGCTTGATCGACCTAAGTAAAATTTCACAAACTGATTACCAGATTATTCAGCGATTGGATGTCTGATTTCAATGAAACCAATGCTGCTTTGCATATGAAACACAGAATACAACATTACCCTGATAATACTGGCCAATCACATTGAATGGCTGTTTACCAGTAGGATATTTGTTTAGTCAATGTAATTTAACACAGTGTACATCTACACAGATCTTTCGCATATTACTAAGTACGACTATGTTCCAAATTCACCAGTTCAACCGAACATAAATTATTTATGAATAAAACTCCAAAAATGCGCGAGTGCAACGGATTTTAATGAAGTGTATACAGTATACAAAGCAGGCTTTAGTTTGACTACTTAAATCCATATAATTCTACAAAAAAAGATTCAAAGAAAGCGACAAGTCAACATCAAAACGAACACCATGTACGAAATATTGATACTGGAAAGGGTGGGTGGGGTGGGGAATTATTCGCTGCAATGTAGCAGCGAAATTCGAATGACTTAAAACACTCGGAAATCTACCTTATACGTGACTGAATCATGCATGCGAGGCGCGGATTCAACCTGTTCGCCCGTAAACAAATGAACAACCAATTGATCTCCTTTACCGAAGGACTTAATCTGCATACATAACAAACACACGTGTTTTACCGTAACTTTTATAAATATATTTCTAACCTATCTGGTCCTTTTCTAACACTTTTGCTGATTGGCTGTCTTCCTAACTGCGCGTTGATTAGTTGAAAATAAATCACCTATAGATATGACAAGGGTTATTAAGTATTACGCAAGAATTTAACAACTCGCCGTCCAATCAAAGCATAGTGGGCGAAGCCAATATTTTTTATCATGCGTTTTCGTTCTTGTTGGTTTGCTTACTTTTTGAGAGGGAGAAGGAAATAACTTTTGATATTTTTTATTTAAAAGTCATTAAAAAATATTTGATCCTTTTTATGACAAGTAAATTCATGTAATGTTCCCCAAGAAACGTCCTCGTATATCTTGTAGAAATGACTTCTTTAACATTAACTATAGAGGCAAAAAAGTCACACAGCGCATATTTTAAGTTAAAAAATTAAATAATGTCAATTTGAATTATATATAAATTTCGTTCCGTCTTGAAAACAAAATTTATTTTCTAATATCTTGACATTCAGGAGAGAGAGAGAGAGAGAGAGAGAGAGAGAGAGATCCACGAGTTTCATCTTTCCTGGCCCAATAGTTTTCCTACGTATTCATATGTAAAACTTTGATCAGCCATTGTGGCCCCGCCCTACCCTACCGGGATGATTTGGGGGAAAAACTTGAATCTACACTACATGAGGATGCCTCCACATGAATTTCATCTTTCCTTGCCAAATGGTTCTTGAGAAGATTTTTAAAAGATACCATTAATTTTTCATAAATTCATAATTATCTCCCCTTGGAATAGGCCTTGGCACTTCATTTGAACAAAATTAAATCCTCATCACCCAAGGATACTTTGTGGCAAGTTTGGTTGAAATTGGCCCAGTGGTACTTGAGAAGAAGATGAAAATGTGAAAAGTTTACGACAACGACAAATTTTGATCAAAAAAGCAAAAACTACATTTCCCCAAATTTTCGATTAAAGGCACTAGCACTAGTATCTCTTGTAATTATAGCTAGAGGGTTTGATTTATTGGTATCAAACAAAATTTGAAGCTACATTTAAGAGCATTTTGAAATCAGAGCTTCACTATTCACTTTCAATCTTTTAAAGACAGATAAAGAGTGCATGAAAGTCAATTTACTAATCATAGGCGTCGGAACCCGGGGGAGGTTGGATAGGGTTATAGCCCCTACCAACCCCTTTTTTGCAAAGATAAACATAATATAGGCATAGAACATTGGAGCGTAGGTTTAGCCCCCCCCCCCCCCTCAGTTTTCAACAGGCTAGTTGCAGTATCACGAGGTTACTCAATAGAATCAAATGCTGTTCTTCATCAATAATAATTTCAGTTTTCTTGAAATCGATAAAATCAAAAAACACGGTTATATGTACATTATTTAATTTCATTACCATGTTTTGATAAAGTAAATGTTTACAGGTATAAATTAGAATCAAACAGTACATATGAACAAAGCAATTTTAAGCTTTTACAAAAAATAAATGCTTGGAAGATGTGGCTGATGTTCGTGATACTTTCTGGCCTCACGATTGACATGTAAATGCTATAAAGTACATTGTACATAAATGCAGGATTTTCTTTGAAAATATTAACTTATGCATAAAAAATAAATTCCCATTTCATTCTTTCTTTATCAAGCTGGCTATTGCAAAATTCCATCCAGTTTTAAAGTAGCTTTCTGTTTTTATTCATAGCACTTAGTACATATTTCAATGTTGAAAATGAAAGCATTTATATCATAAACGTTGTATATTCCGGCAGTGGCTCGGCAGATTTCATTTCCGCAAATTTTTAACTAATTCGTTTTAACGTTTCCGCAAAGTGCTGTTACATTTTTGGAAAATAATATAAAGGTAATATAGCTGTATAGCGGTAGTACCTAAGTTGTATATTATGTTCCTGTAACTGATCTGTGTCAATGCTCAAGTGCAAAATATATACGAATCAAAGTTGAATCAGATTTGGTACCCGAAGAGTCGTGCGAGATGTTCTGCACTAAATTTATACCCAACAATGGATGTGAGTAAATTTGTTCAAAAAAATAATTATAATTAAACCGAATGTTGAATAGTTCTTTTTCGTACCGAGGGATACACAACGTTTAATCTTATACAGCAAGCCTATCTTATTTGCACTTCATATCTTATTTGCACTTCATCTATTTCAAATTTATGTTGCAGTTGTTTCAACTTCTGGGATTCCTTCGATAGAACTGGTTGTCACGTGATCACAACTCCTTTATAAACACACGGACCCCCATATCCCTCAGTAAGAGCAGGCCACAAAAAGTTTTTAATTTCCTCAGACTCGGGACTTGAAGAATGATGTCGGGTATGCATATCAGGATGAAACTGTCGTGCATCGTAAATAATGAGGAAGGGTGGATTTTGCACGGACAGTCCCCACGCAATCTGAACACAGGAAGTGACGTAATGTCTTAATCCTTGACAGTCTTTCAAAACGGGATAGTCATACAATGTTGCGTAGATCTGTGAGCAAACTTCCTATAATAAGAAAAAAACGTATATATAAAAATTCTGCAAGTGTAAAAAATAAGGACACTCAAAATTGTGTATTTTTCTCAATAAATGATGAGCAAAAGATAAAAGGATGATATATATCATAATCTCTAAAATTCGTAGGCTCATATTTGATTTTACGTAATCACTGTACACATGATCACGTATATATAAAATTTGTAAAAAATAGGACACTCAAAATTGTGTATCAATAAATGAACAAAAGATAAAAGGATGATATATATCATAATCTCTAAAATTCGTAGGCTCATACCACTGAGGCCGGTATATTTGATTTTACGTAATCACTGTACACATTATAGTTATTGTGATCACGTATACTAATATTTGATAGAATCAACAAAACAAAGGTGTTTCTTGTGGTACAGTTTTGCATAAATTTACTGGTAAAATAAATTTTGTTTCTAAAAAAAAGTTAAACTACATGCATTGTAATATTTAAAATATATAATTTCATACATGCATACATGTACATAAAATCATAAATCATAAAATTAACTAAATTTTCCAACATAAAAACTATATATTTCATGCATACATACACATGATTCTGTTTGAAAGTTTACACTTTTTATCAAAAACTTGATCTTACTTCAATTGTTTTTGAAACGTCAAAGTTCCCAGCTGTTTTGCAGAGGTATTGAGCAACTTGTGTCTCCATGTGATTCGATAAAGGATCAAAATGGTTCCTCTGTGCATCCGGATGTGGAAGATTTAGTAAATGTCGAACTTTTCCCCTCAGCTCATGGACAGCTTGCTGAGCTCCACGAAAGGACAACTACATAAAAAAAATTGTGAAATTTAATACAGGTATTTAGAGCTTTTTAATCCAACTAGTAAAACTGGGGGTATACAACTTTTTTTTTATATCCCCCGTTTTTACAGTCGAGTAAATGCAACCCATAGTTTATGACAGGAAACGCAAAGTCGAGCGGATTTAGACAGAAACTAGGTACTGTGAGCCATGAGCTCACTACTTGATACCCCCGCCTCCCATATAAATATAATGGCAGTGTCCATGTTTTGCTATGGGAAACCCAAAATGTGTGTCGGATCAAAATGTAAAATAGGAGGTGCACAATGGCATAATGTACATTTGTAATAAAGATTCTCTGAAAGTCTCATCAAATCATTCAGTTATATTAGAGGAGTTGCGGAAGAGATAGATGGGTACCCCAAAGCGTAATGGACGGATGTACAGCTAGACGGTCGGCATCCTGATTTATATATAACCCTCCCGCTTTTCAGATGGGGCTATATTAAATATAAAAGGTAAAAAAAAAACCAATGATTTGTTTTAGTATGGATTAGCTGGAGAACTGTAGCTCTCTGCTTGAGAAAATTTAAACAAAGTTTTTGTTAGTCTCCGAATTTTCTCAAGCAGAGAGCTACAGCTAGTTCTGCAGCTGAATAAATATCAAAATATTCCTTTTTACAACAGTTTGCCTGTAGCAATACATTTTTTAAAAAATCTTATCTTTCATTTTTTTAAAAACAGGATAAAAAGTTGTTTTTTCGAAGTTAATTGCTTGCAAAAGAGGTTCGAATGGATTTAAATCACTTTTAGACTGAATATTTATACTTTATAGCTGTCGATTATTCACGTACCACAACTACCGAGAAAAGAATCTTTTCTTTAAGTACAGAGAGGTCACTGAGTTGTCCTATTGCATCTAGAGCGTCCAGCGTTTCCAGACGGGTAATACTATAGAGATCTCCGTACTGCCTTATAAGTTCTGAGGCTCGGCTTGTCACCGACAACTCATCAAAATGGCTGTTTAAACCTCCGTTATAATGACTGTGAACATCCAATGGCGTTCTGAAATAAGAGTAACAACTGTGAAAGTACATGTATGGTCCCTGCTGACAAGAAATAAAATAACCACTTGAGCTACCTAAATTTTATTGCATAATGCCTTAAAATAAAATGAAATGCATCACTTTTAAAATTATCTTGCATGGCATAGATCGGAGTAACACCTTATCTCATTGGTGCAACGTTTAGTTACCTTTCTAGGAGTTGTCTCTCCCTTTCCTGTAGTTTCTTGATTGCTTCTTGACTTTTCTGTAGCTCAGACTTTAAAGCTTTCACTTCCTGTTCAAGTTTCTCTACGGTGTCCGTATGTCCATTACTATGGCGGCTACCATTGGTTAGGAAGACGGACGTAAGGGAAGACAGCGGTGATGCGGTAACTGTCGCGTGACCATTCGTCAGGCCGTTTGATCCAGCAGTTACAGGTTTACATGGAAATGGACTGGAAATGATTGAAGGACGAAGCCCTGAAGGAGAAAAAGAACAGTTTCTGTAGTTTTAAAATCTGTCTTGCAAAAATTTATTGAAGTGCTACAAATCATGAATTTAGAAATATTTGTCAATTCACGCATAAAATAAAAATTCAATGCAGTTCATGATCCTGAACCTCTAATCCAACAGGCCACATTTTATAAACATGTATGATGTTATCAATGGAATAAGTTAATTCTGTTCTACATTATAAAGGTTGTTATAGTCTGTCCCACGATACTAACATTGTTTAAAATGCAATCATTAATGGATCTCAAAATATCCTTGAAACGGCAATGAATTCAAGGTCATGAAACTTGAAGATAACAGCCGCCACTTCGTAAAGAATTTAATATCTGTAACTTGCTGTCAGTAACATCATGAGGTACATAACGCAACTTTCCAAGTTCGGTCACAATTGGACGATCTCTGAGCAGTCTTTGTCTTCGTATATGTATATGATGCTTTTCAGCAATGGCCAAAAACATGTAGCTTTCCAAAGACTGAAAAACCGTGTTCGTAGGGATATTTGATAATTCTGTAAGTTTCCATTCTGAGAGTGTTTTAAAATGCTTAAACTTCAAAGTTGAATGACTTTTTTAAGGCAATTTGAGGCTCTTGTCGAAGATGATTGGAAGCGCTCATGGTACAGACTATAACTCTGTTGGTTACATAAGAGAATCCCTTGACTGGACATACTGGTTACATGTATGAGTGATTGAGTATGTAATTATTCATCATTTCAACCATCTAATTTTAATAAAAGACTAATTAGTAAACCCGGTCACACAACCATAACCATAAATTAATCTCATTTTATCAATCAAGTCACAAGCGTTATCCCTTCTCAACAAACTTACGTCCACGCATGCCCGGAAGTTTACGGCCTGTACTGCCCCCTAGAGGAATTAGAATTTTCCTTTTCAGCTTATAAATGCAAAATGATGTAATAAAAATTGCTGAAACAATTTTTGATTAAATAAAATTAAACCATAAGTTACATTTAAGTTCAAGATACATGTGCCGTCTGTTTTTTGAATGTACATGTAAGATATTGCTGATGTGCATAACATCTCTCTCTCTCTCTCTCTCTCATTTTTTATCCAACATCTGTAATAAACTTATGACGAAGTAGATCTCAACTAATTAAAGTTAACTCTGATAGGATGTTTCTGCGTTGTAAATCAGAGTTATCGTTCTTTTGTGCAAACAAACAACAATTTAAAACACCTGTTTGTCGAAATACGTTAAATAAATTTAAAGAAAATGAATAACAATTCCATGGTCTTGTTCATTTTATAGCTTAAATAAAATGTTATTGTTCATTTTAATTGTATACCTATGTATACTGACAAATCCACTTATACACGTGGTCGCATAATAAAATATTTAATATTTAAAGGAGACACAAGAGATAGAAATAATTTTAATCACAATGAAGGAAATCAAAAATGTTTACAGCCTTAAGATTGTCTGTCTGGTGTTCCTGTATAATTGTATGGATCGAATTGATTTAGCAAAGTCACATTTTTACATTGAACTCCCCTTTAAATAATATTAAAACGGCACGTGAACGAAAGTACATGTATAAGAGAAAAATTCTAACTATAATGGTCAACTTTTACATGTGTAGGTTCTATGGCCACTGCTTTCTATTCAAACTGTCAATTCAACTCCCAAATAAAATTTATTTATCCATTAAAACATCGTCATTCGATGATGTATTAGTCTGTGTTCATATAATATATATTTACTTTGTTCAAACAGATTGTACTGATGATCTGTATGGCTTAATGTTATTCAATAAAGAATTATAATATAGTACGCGCCCAAAAAAAAATTACAAAATATACCCATCAGAAGGTAGGTATTTGAAAAATGAAACGAATCTTTATAAAAGATTTTTTTTTAAATTAAAAGCTCATATTTCACTTTTCTCCTCAAGGTCATAAGAACATTCATGAATGCCCTTCAAATCTTCATGACTGTAGAATAAAAATAAAATGTCGGGGACTCTCTAAATGGAAAAATGTATAAAATGTTTTGTATATTATAGCAAAATGTAATTTTTGAACATATTACAGCAGTGCATTTGTATTACAAATAGCATAGTTCTACTTACTGGTCGTTTTATGTCCGTGTGAGGGATTAGAACAGAGTTTAGAACACAGAGTCAACGACAGTTTTTCGGTAGATGCCGGAGATAACGTATAATATTTTCTCCTATTCATATCTATAATTCATAAGAATTCAATAGTATTTCCCAAAATTGACGACAAGTGTATCATTCCTTTCTGTTCACTAAAATGGCATTTTATCCCAACTTTTTTTCTGTAATTAACGAATCCTTACAAAGCTCTGAGACTGTGAATCAGCCATCACAACGTTGAACAATGCTAACCACATATGTACCTTTGTATCACGATAAAACACACTAAAAATGTCCTCACGCAAGCACTGGACCAATATTGATATTAATCCACGCGGATATCAATCAGCATTGTTGTACCAACGAGGGACGAAGGTCCCGAAACACGCTACGAGGTACCGAGCATCAATGTGAAGTCCTGTTTTAGCGCGATTAATGCAAAGTACCAAATGACATTGAGATTCCCTGGTCGATTCGTGTTTCTTTTCAAAAATATGATATCCCGCATCGAGTTTATTCAAATTGTGAACTTAGCTTGGTATGTTATATATAGTCCAATGCGCATATGGCATCCGTTTTACAAAAGAACTTACGAGTATAAGACTTAAATTTAATTATACTTATAACTTTCTAATATACACTAAACTGAAATTGATTCTTGATGATTTTAAAAGGGTTCTAAAAAGAGTTTACGCTAATTTACGCTAGCAATTTTAAACAGATCATTAATTTTGCAAAATTTTACATTCAATCTAAAAAAAAATTGGTATTAATCTTAAGTTCTTTTTGTAAAACGGAACCCATGGTTTTATTTGGACAGCAAATCTATTTCAATATCGTAGTACTGTCGTGAGAAAATTATATCATATAGAGAGCGAAAAAGGGGGAGGGGGCAAAAACAAACTTTCAAAAAGGCAAGATTCAATATAAATACACTACTTCATTTCCCCGCAGTAGTGATCATTAAATGAAAATTAATCTTAAATAGGTGACATTATATCAAATGTTAAGAAAAAATATATCTGCGACCTGATTGTCATTTTACTCGAGTTTGAACATGCTGAAAACATTCGTTAAAGCATGAAATAGGGATTTAGACACGTCGCCAAAGTGTGAAAAAGATAAACACCCTCGGCTTATGGCCTAGATGACTATCGCAGACGACAGATACTATTAGCAGAAGACACTTATTTCCGCCAGTGCTCTTGTTTCTGTTCAGTGTGCATGAAGGCAGGTTATGACAAAGACCTGAATTTACATTCAACAAAGCACACCAGATTTCATCGCCGGGTATGAACGCAGCCAGAGACGTCTAACATCGGTTTTTGTTTTAATTAAATGACCTAAACTTAATTGATAAATGCAGTGCCTGTCAATATTAAGTGAGATTTATATAAATTGGAGATGCGCAGAAAATGACTCTGTCTTGCAAAACGCTACTGAGGGGTACATGTATATTTAATGGAAGTATATTTTTATTCAGTAAATACAAATCCTTCATTTATCTTAAAGAGACACTTCAAAATTTAATCCCAGCGTATAAAACACGCTTTATTTGTGAATCTCCAATCATACGAGGTCTATAAATCAAAACTATTGACGTGTATTAGAACATATTTAGGGTGGTTATGTAATATCACTTTTTTATACACTTCTTTTTAAATGTTTAAGAAGATTCTTTTCTACGCCGTGGGAGATATGAAATAGGTAACAACTCTTTTGAAGTGGCGGAGAAACTTCTAAAAAGAAACATTGGTTGCTATGAACTAACACTCAAGTTTAGCTGCAATCGGCTTTTTAACGAGATATTCAGATCCAATATTCATAACTTTGTGAACCTTCATCATCATAAAAAACAGCACTGTAGTATTCTCATTTGCCCATTTTCTTTTTTTTCCCACATTTAAACAGTGTAACTTATACGCATTACACGTACATGTGCAATGAGCATTCGGTTATTATCCGACCGTTTTCTGTGACTTGCCAATAAGAAACTGTTCATTTTATTTCCAAATGATTTTGAAAATCTGTTAACTGAAATTTAAAAGAATTTAATGTTACAAATATTGCTTAATAGAGTACATGGTATTAATTCTCCACGAAAAAAACGGACATTAAAACTCCATTTATAAAGCAATCAAAAAAGGTCGTTGCACGTGCATAACTTTGTTCCATGAAATATTAGCTTATATGTTATATTTTCAACTATTTCACTTTGCATCAGAGTTTTATTAATTTCAAAATTTTAAAAAATTGATCCTTCCACTTTGATACAAGTTTGATTGGAAATAAGTAGCGCGTTGCCGTGCTTTACCCATTTTTGTTTAACTTAAATTTTCCAACATGTAATTACACTGTCAATTCTTAACAAATTTAGAAATAGTGGAATCAAAATCTGCATTTAGTCATTTTAAATTTCCAACTTCCTTGTTAAAACTCGAAAGTAAACTGCACTGTGTATGTGAAGCTTTAATAAAATGAAATTTCACGAGAGATTTTTTAAATTCGCTCAATCCTTTGTCTTTTTCTCATTCTATTACCATCATTAAAATCTTTGACTCAGTTTTCATTGTAACTTTCATGTTTTTTATTCCATTAACTTCCAACATCAAAGCAACTTCTTCTATATTTAGTTTACTGTTATGCTAGTCTAGAGTGGCTCTCTACGTAATACCTATAATATTATTATAGGTATTACGTATCTTTTTTATTTACTGAAAATTTCGGTAAAATTGATAGGTACGCGAACTCCTGTGGCTAAACTATGGAATAGGATTATACCACCATGCAAGAGGGGAACAATTCAACACCAGAAACGCGATGATGATGCAAACTTCGATCTCCTCGTTCTTTGTATTGCTGCCCTTCAGGTCAGCTTAATTATTTGTTCAAACGTATTGTTGTCATTGCATTTTCGATCCTTTGCATAGGAAAGCAAGTAATTTAGACAGTTTTCTCTCCTTCGCGGAGGTATCGTAATCAGTATATCGTAACCGTCTGTGCTTCTGCATAACTGCCTAAATATGATTAATACCTTAAATGTATTAGAACACTGAATATATAATTATGGTATTTAAATTGTATATCTCATTTTCAGATATTTAAAGATAAACATGCAAATGTTAACTGGTTCTGAAATGTAGAAACTTGCCCGATAATCTGTTGTCATTCATAATTCATTGAAAGTAATATGACACTACAAAGCAGTGTTTAAACCTAAATCTAGCTTGTTTTGGATAAATATAAATCTAAGATGGTTAATTTAGTTATTTATAATCTTCCAAGTCTTTAACTGAATTTTATATTAATGCAAGAGAGGACAAACAGCAGGACCAGCAATGCGATGATTATACATTACAAAAACACACACCCAAATGCATTCTAGCCATTGTGCATATGGTACCCTATACTAGCAGACTAGTATACTGTACTTATATACATGTAACTAAAATCATGCACATATCATAGCCACAACATTGAGCATTCACTCTTTATTACTCCGTTTGTTCTCAGTAGAGAGTATAGATTATTTCATATTAAAAATGAACCTACTCTGCTTCTGTATTTTGAAATAGTTTCTTATATTTTTTAGCAATATTTTTTTCTTATTTAACCGAATGTTAATTTCTTTCAGTTGATATAAGCTTCTGATTGTGTACTGAAGGTAGAATTTTTTCTCAAATTGAGTTAAGGAAGCACTCAATTGGGCTTATTCGATTAAATCCTTATATGTTCTGAGTTTCTTTTCACCTGAGTAAGATTTTTAATATTGAGCATATCCTTCAAAGGAAAAGAAAGAAATGATGGTGTAAGTTCTTTTCTAGTATAATATTGCTTTCAATGAAGTATAATTTTGGAAACCTTCATTGTTAGAGACCCGTTTTTGCACCCGTTTATGGAATTTCTCTGACTCACACAGAATCTATGTTCTAGTTCATAGGGCTGTACGGAATCACTGAAATTCAAGCAAGATCTAGGGGCATTGACTTAAATTGTCTTAAAGTACCGTCTGACTTTTGTTAAAGCATTCATTGTGCAAAATATTTCAACCGAAGAAAACAGTACATCTGAAATTTGAACCGTGATAATTTTCAATCAGAATAAAAGACATCCCGTGTAAAAAAAGGTTATGATAATTTATGAAATGATAAAAGTCAACAATTTACAAAACATATTAATTCGACTAATTCTTGACATTTACAATTTTGAAATATAATTGGTGCCATCTCATATACTCATAACAATATCATCAAAGCCATGATCGACTTCAATTTCAAAATAATATGTTTAAATTGAGCTTACAAATCACTTACCATTTGCTTTGTGGGGTAAAATATGCGTGAATCCATTGAATGTCCTGGATCGGTCCATCCGTGTGATTGGCGTCATAATGTCTTCATCACTGGAGATCATACCTACGTCATCATCCTCAGACGTGACCTCATCAATTTCGGACACCTCCTTCAGGAGCTGCAGAACTATACTGTATCCTTGAGAAAACTGCTTCATAATAACAGACAAATAAGCCTCCTCAGAAATATTATCACAGTGTTTGCGAAGCTCGGTGTCATGAAACAAAGCAATTTTATCGTACTCAATCCGTTTTTCTAAAATATGGAATAACTTTTTCAAGCACTGATTTGTCACTGCGGGTTCTACAATGTTGAATAAGGTTTTGTTTTTAATAATCCTGCTTTGAACGTCTGCTCTTGTCATTTGTACGAGTCTTTGGTGGCTAACCTCGGTAGGAGCTTTACCGGAAGTGACCGAACTGCTGGTCGGATGTTTTGCTGATAGACTGAGCTCATCCAGTTTTTGTAAGGCGTTCCGGTACTGAAAGACAATTTTATCTAATTCCATTTTTAAAGCATCGTGAAGGTTCATCAGGCTTCCGCAGGACGATTCCACGAGTCCATGCTGCCCCATGTGTTTTAAACACCTGTCTAAAGCCTTCTTTTTCTGTTTTAGCTGTTGTTTTACATTTGGTTCAACGTAAGAAACAACACGTAAGATATTCCTACACGAAGGATAGAAGCTGTTACAATTTTTCTCAGCTCTGTTACCAGATTGGGACATTCTGGCGAAACAAGCCACCATCCTTTTGACGAGGAGGTCCATGTGCAGATGTTCCTTGGGGTACGTCTCCAGGGTGGTCTCATAGAGTTTGACATAGAGGGCCTCCAGAATAGAAAGACTGAAAGGCATGGAATCGAGCAGGACCTCCATCGGAACTTCCTGAAGAATATTTCCAAAAGTAACGCAATTTAACCGACGAATGAGAGTGGCGCATTCGTCGAACTTTTTGGTCTCGAAAAGTAATACTATCCTCCTTAAGGCAAAGTTTGGGGTTAACTCCGAAGATTCCATGCTGAGAGATTCGTCCGGAAATGACTCCGCCCAGCGAACATTACGCCAAACAGACTGCACTCTTTGCCGAGGCGTTTTCTCCGGCCGGATCCGTTCCATTCTTCCGGACCCGGAACTGGAACTCTCCGTCTAAAAGTTAAAAAAAGGATACATAAAATTATCGTGAATACCCTGGTTGCCTACATAATTTCGAAAGTTTTTAATGAAGAAAATCCTAATTTTTATATACATGTATATACAGACAGATTTAATCTCCATTTCAAGGCGAATGAATTGTCAATATTTGTGGAACTAGATTCAGCATATTGCATTTACACGCTAAAACTGATGTGTATCTCAAAAATTAAATACACAATGAAAAAATCAATAAATGTTTTCGAATACATGGCCTGAATAACAACATCCAACATTGTTTCCTTCGGGTACCTGCATTCCAGATTCTACCGAATTGATCAGAAAACGTGTCATTGAGCTTTTTGCAGTGCTGTTTACGGAACAGCTACCCGGGTGTATGATTATATCATCATCGCTTCAAATTTCTGATAGGAAAATCAATTCCTGATTTTTTTTTTCTCAAAGACCACAGTTTTCTTACCGGCACAAACTTGTATTTAAAGGAATACATCCCCAGGATCGGAGAGACTGCTGTCTATATGCACCGCTTACTGCCTCTTTTATCGTTTAAATATCCAGAGTTTATATTACGTCAACTTCAAACTTCACAGAAACAAATCTTTACCCCTCTCCCGGTATTTTAATTTAGGGTCCTCGATATTATCAAATGCCATGACTTTGCTATATATTCAGTACTTAGAAAATATTGACTGTTTGATTCGAGAAATGAAATGACTTTAATTGTGTTTTCATTTGTGAATTGGATTTTCGGTCGTTTTGGATTTCTCCAATTTCAAAAATTGCCTTTTAATTAAATCATTCTTTTGTCTGTTAACGTGAGACTTTACGATGTTTTAAACTTTAATATTTAAACAGTGAATGAACCTATTATCAATTGTTCTAAATGCAATTGTTATGGACCAAACACCACGTGTTGTCTGACAAGAAGGCATATCTGACCGACAATAAAATCTTATTATAGGCATTGATTTAATTAACGTCAAAAGACAATGAGGTGTTAAAGTGAAATCTATTTAATTTTTAGTTATATCTATATTGGGTAGTCTGTTTTTCACAGCACGTTAGTTTCTAGAAGCCAATTATGCTTTCTCGTCGAGTTGATTCCTTGTGTTTTGGGCATCATTTCTATAGTCTCGGTGAATACATGAGATAAACCCTCTTGTCTGCAGGGTGTACAAAAGAGATCGACTCTCTGTCTCCAAGAGTTTATTCTATAGTAAGTTATCAATTCTCTATTCACGAGCAGTGCACAAGTGATCAACTTTCTACTCTCCAGGAGTTCATATGAGATCAATTTAGAGATCAACTCTCCAGTATCCAAGAGTACAAGAAATCAACGTTCTAGTCTCCAGGAATACATGCGAGATCAACTTTCTAATCTCCAAAAGTACATACGAAATCAACCCTCCTCTTGAATCTCAAGGATTACATTCGAAATCATTTCTTTTGTCTCCAAGAGTACAACAGAAATCAATTTTGTACTCTCTAGGACTTCAGAAGAAATTAACTTTCTCGACTCCGAGAGTTAACAGGAGATCAGTTCTCTAATCTGAAGAAGTACGTACGAAATCATCTTTCAAGTCTCTAGGAGAACATAAGAGACCGACTCTCTAGTCTCCAAAAGTATATAAGCCTACAAAATAGATCAACTCTCTCAATTTAGTTTCTAGGAATAGATGAAATCGACTCTCTAGTCTCCAAGAGTACATAAAAGATCGACTCTCAAGTCAACAAGAGTACATAAGAGATCGACTCTCTAGTACATAGGGGATTAACTCTCTAATCTACAAGAGTACAGAGTACATAAGAGATCTACTCTTTAGTCTCCAAGAGCACAAAAGAGAAGTCTCCAGGAGTACAAAAACAGATCAATTTTCTAGTTTCCAGAAGAACATGTTATGAACTTTATCGCCTCAAGGACTGTCTTATGGAAAATGGGCATCTGGAAATTTTAACAAAAAGGTACAGACTTGACAATAGCACAGAATTTTTGCCTCTTATTTTGACATATAGGATTATTGGAAAATCAGGTTGAAATCCAAAATCAAGTTTCTCAAGCTAATTAGGTTGGCTACTTAACACCTTGAGTTTAATAATCTAAGAGACTGTTCTTACCTCAGTTTTATCAGAGCTCTCACTGCCTGATCGCGAATCCTTAACAATAGGTCCCATCCTATAGGGAAACTGGGCACCAGACCGCTGGTCTCACAATAATATACTAAGTTTTGGTCATTTTCATCGACTGGTCAGTCCCGAGAGTATGTATTGAACTGGATTAAGAGACTTTGGTGTAAGTTTGCATGAACCAGCGAATAACATGCATAAAGTGGTGACTATTTGTTTGTGTATTTTAAACGGTCTTTCCGATTAATGTCTTTGGATGTTTAAATGGATTAGAACTGTGAATAGGACTACTGTATGTACATGGAGGAGATCTTAGCTGTTGGGTGAGAGGCCCCGGCTAATCTGCGATCTTTTGTATCTATTATACGTTGTTGTCTAAGTGACCACCGGTCAGAGCTTTGTGGCAGCCGATTAACTATAATTTCAAAACTTTGACCGATAAAAACATCGAACAGAATAAAACAATTTAAAGATAAGACATAGAACTGGCTTCTGGATGATTCACGTTCTGTCGTAGGACGATTAAACACTTAGATCGTTAGAATGGTTTTATCAATTGTAAGTGCTTGTTTCTTAGACGGTATTCAATACTGCTGACTTTAATTAAGATACATAGTCAAGATATACGTATACATTATAATGTCATACTGTATATATTTCTTGTCTTTCTCAAATCAGGCAACCAAGGTCCTTTCCCTTACTAATGAGATAATATCTCGCGTGCCAGAGACGCACACAGAAACGTGGAATGTTTTTCAATCTCAGTATATCTAAATTCCAATTCGATTTTCCTGTTCTATTGCTAATATTTTGTTTTTATTTTTTTTTTCTAATTCAGCGTGTGGTCCTCTGTCCTAATATAGATCTGGCTGATCTTCTCACCTCGTTAATTCTTTGGGGTATAATTTCATAGAATACACTTCTACCCTTTAATTTACACCAAATAAATGTTTACACGCACCTGTTTGCATAATAACAAATGAAAAACACCTTGCCGAACGTAAAATCCCCTCTCATAATTTGTTCATCGTTCTTACAAAATTTGATTGTAGTTCTTTAAAAAGGAAAATCCGTGTGAAAGTTAAGATATGCTTTGTAATGACTAGATGCTATTGTGCTCCTGTCAATGAATAAAAAAAACCTACAGACTTCTTTTAGAAGTTTTATTGTAAGTGACCCATTATGATTTGAGTAATTCGGATTTTTATCTTTTTATGTTTCATGATTAATGATATTTGAAATATTCCTTTTTATAAAAAAACACAATGAAGTACCTTAAGAAACCTTTTACAATTTACATGATTTTGATGCCATTTTAGAATTGAATCTATCACAAGAGAAATTATCCCATCAAGTTAAATTATACCCAGGCAAGATTCTAAGAATAATCTTTTCTATTCAGGTATTCTGTTTAGATGATTAGGGTGCAACCTCACCTTGTTGAATAAAATTTCTTCCGGGATTAAAATATTTTTATCTTCAAATGTGATAATGTTCTTCTAGAATTTAATATTTTATTGTGTTGAATTCAACTGATCATTATCCCCTCGTAAGGAGATGGAGGGGATATAGTAACGCGCTAGTGTGTGCGTTAGTTTGGGTGTAAGTTTATCCTGTGCGAAACGGAAATGACTAATTTGCTTCAGGGTCGATGACGTATGATGCATTGTATTATACATATATAGGTAAAGGGGAATGCTCCGCTTTGTAGTTCCCTTGTTTAATTTGGATACGTTTAGCATACTCTGTAGACTGTATCCTGGATAAGAAATTAAACCATTTCAAGCATTTTTTTTTTACAATAGGTCTTCCCCTAAAAGACAAATATTGCAGTTATGCAGGTTATAGCATGTAAGCTTTGGGTTAAAATTGACAACAATTTTCTTTATCTTTTGGGCAATAATATTTTTATTCAATTGACGTATTAGACATGTACATGTGGGAATGAAGTTAAAGTTAAGTTGTATAAATTCTTTTGATTCTCATTTGACATAATAAATGTGTATCAAAATCTTATAAAAATGGTTAAAATATTGTAAGTAATGTCTCAATAAATTTGATATCCATGAAACTCTCGATCATAATTATGCCTAGGGGGGGGGGGTTATTTTTAGTGCCCTCTGCATTTTTCTACTTAAAAAAAATTGGTAAGAATTTGGGTTATAATTTCAAACACCATAGATTAATGACCCTTTCATCTGCCTACGGAAAAGCGAATCATAACGAATGTTGTAACTCTAGATGATTTTCAATTCAGTACTTGTCGAACAATGTTCATTTGCCTTATTTTTCTAAAACACAATGTTCAACAATAGCTTGATATTTAATACCTTTGCGTAAAAGAATCTGAAGAGATACCATAACAATAAAAGCTACCAAAAAATGTATTAAACCTCGAGAGCTCTTAGCTAATGTCATTCGTCCCTCAAGTAAAAGAGAAATACAAAAAATGTCTTTTACCAAAGAGGGTTCATTTAAAAAACACATGTAAATAGTGGACCATACGTATAAGCTGCTTAACACGTTACTTATACAGAATTATTGTAGGGTTTAAATCCAATATATTTCACCAATACAAAAATGACTTTTGTCTAAATACAAAAATTAAAGTCTCTGTTTTCTTTGCTACTTATGAAATGACTTGCTGCTTGGTATAATGCCAGATTCCTTAGTCTAGAGAGCTCTTGAACGCAAAACTTTTAGGAATTTACAAAAGTGAATATTCTTATTTCTTATTTTTTTATTTGTTCATATCTAAAAATGTGCCAGATATACAACTTTCGCTGTGCAAGCATCGAAAACAATTTTTTCAATCGTCAGCATTGACAGAGGTCATAGGAGGGATACATATTTATTCAATTTTCGAATTTTCTCAGTTTTAATTGATTTACGTCAAATTTTAAGGCAAATTTTGCACGAAGAGAGTGAAGGTGAAAGTTAGGTTTAACTTAATTTAATCTATGCCTTAATAAAACATCCTGTGTACGAAAGTAAGTTATTGGTTTCTGCTTGTTTCTGTCTGTCAAAATAAAAAAAAAATAAAGAGGAAAAAGAAGAAAATCTCAAAAGATTAAATTAAAAAGCCCCTCACCCTCATGTATAGACTCTGGATCTGCTGATGCTATAAATATAAACCATGACTGATGTTGATCGGGGGTTTAATTCAATCTGCTGAATCATTTTTATCAAAATGATAGACAAATGAGCCATTTAGTATTCTTTATCCTTTCAAAAGATGCTACCGTTCGGGTCATTCTATCTGGCCCATTGTTAAAATTTAACAATACATAGTTTATAAAAATAACTCTGTCGATTTTCTGCCGTCATTTAATTGAATGCATACTTATTGTATAAACTATTAAATTGTTGAATTTTAAGTTAACAAGATTTTAGATTGCAAAAGACATATTTCACATTATTGCAGCTACACCTATCTTTAACTGTAATTTTAATTTATCAAAATTAAATATGTTAAAATTCTTTATGTTAAAATGAATCATGCATACACAGTTTTCTCATATTTCGAAAAAAATAATAATATTGGTGCCTACCATATCTTCTTGTGAAAAAAATTCCTTCATGTTGGACCCTGATTGTTCACAGCAAAATAATTAACCAGAAATTATCCAAAACTTGTAATTGCTAAGTTTTGACACAACCTTGGACATAATTGCAGAAGAATACACATAAGTTCTACACGGAATCTCTTGACTTTAAATCCTGAATAAAAAGAATGAGAATTCTTCGTCAATTTTAGACGCAAGACTTGACTTCGATAACATTGTTGAAGCTGAAAACGACGGAGATTTTAACCTCACATTCTTCGACGACCAGAAATATAAAGAATAGAGAATCCAGATAACTGTAAGAATATAAATCGGCTTATAACGGTTGGAACTTCAAAGAAAGTTTTACTGAAAAGTAGGAAAATTGCAATCCAATCTGGCGCAATCAATAAAACTGCTCCGGTGGAGAATTAGGTGTTTTGTGACTAATTCATCAAAGGAAGAATGCAAGAATAGGTATCCATGAAACTTGAAACGAATGGAGTACCTAACGTTGTATTTATACAAGATACAGTGATAATAAGATAGAGATAAAGAAATACTTACTTCAGACGAGTTGTAACCGGGCATCTTAATTCCTAGACATCAACATGAAATAAGAAAAACTTTTGTTGCAGTCACATGATAAGGATATATATTTTGTTCGACCACTTTAACATACACTTGCCTAAGATTGGGTCGATAGCTTACATGACCAAGGTTTAGATAGTCCGCATTGAATATAATGCTATTGTCATCAACGTCATTTCAGCTGCTATTAAATGTCCTAGTTCAACAATAAATCGAATCAGACTTTAAATTCAAGCCTGACTAGAAAGACAAATTCATAAAAAGTATTAACTCAGTGTAAACATATTATCCATTTTAATGTGTGAAAACACTTAAAACTCCCTTTTGTGGCAATTTGTGTTATTATAACAGCCGATTTCACGTAAAATTTCAAGAAATTAAAACACAAAAAAATACAGGGATCATGTCGCCCCGAACTATTTGTAGAGTTCCTTGTTCGTTTAACCTTTGTCGAATTGCTACTGGAACGGACAAACTATGAGTACCAATAACTCCACAACATTCAGAACACAGAATAAGTACCGCCCTGGAACGAAAAACAATTTTGATTTTTATCTTCACAAAAGAACTAAAGAAGGTAATCAAGGAAAAAAGTCATGGTCCTCTTTTAAAACATACACATTTATTTAGACGTCTCATTAACAAAGACATCTCATGCCCCTTTTCAATAGGTGTTATATTGTGAAAACCACGTTTCATGTCAACATCAAAATTTTGTTGTCCACAGTTATTAAACATCAAAGATTTTCAGCTATTTTCTTCTTCTGTCATTAACATACAAGTGTTTCCTTTTACAAACTTCGCAGTCGCCTGGTGTTCGAAAAGTTTACAACCGAAACGTGTTAAAGAATTCCTTTGATGGCGGGGCGGTTCCTTTTCCTGACATTTTTGTTAATGACAAGTGATTTGAAATTTAAAAAAAAAAAAAAGAGCAAACAGAAATGAAAAATGACCTAGAAAGTCAATTTAAGACAATCATTTTACCTGCCTTTTATTTAAATATTTCATTTCTCTCTCTCTCTCTCTCTCTCTCTCTCTCTCTCTCTCTCTCTCTCTCTGGAAATTAATAAAAGAAATAATATAATAACTTGGTACGAATAAGTAGATAAGAAAAATGACGAAATCAAGAGTAAAAAAATTACCAATGTAGAAAAAGTGATTATTCTCTGAACAAAAAAATCGATCAGGATAATTTTCGCATACAATAACGTGTCTTGATTTCTCACGATAGAATTTTCTTTCAAACTAATTTTTTTTTTTTTTTTTGTTTTTTTTTTTGAAGTTCAACAATTCTGGCTGATATATATTTTTTTTCAATAATTATTGTATTGTCCTGTACAAAAATATAGGTTTTGAATTTTAAATGTCTTATCTACAGAATAATTTCTAGCTATTTTTTAGGATTGTAAAGAATATCTAGAGAACTTAATATTATTAAGGATACATTACAGAAATTAAATGAAAGATGGAAACTACATAGCATTAAAGAATGAGCGAGCCTGTACAAGAATCTGAAAGTCGAAGGCCGACAACTCGTAGAAGTTTTGTTACCATTGATAATGTATAAGATTCAACGGGGAAAAATCTGTCAATGCCAATTACAGAACTTTGGCAGAATAATATTTAGTCTTTATAATCATTCAACATTTATTTAGAAGGAAATTTAAAGAATCCTACTCAGACTAGTGTGTTTCTTTCACATATATTAACAAAATGTTATTTTAGCGAACAATTATATGGGGAAATGAAATTTTATAACTGGAAGGTGGTTAAATTACTTCCTACGGACCTCTTATATACCAACAAATCGTGGTCCCCATTCTCTGAGTGTTCTGCTAATTTTTTTTTTTTTTTTTTTTTGCTGGCGGCGTTTCCCACACACATTACTTCTTTAAATAGTCTTAGAAAATGTGCATTTACAGTAAATGCATGAAATATGGCGATAACGAACAGTAATCAAGCTAATAAGTTAAAACAATTGGGAGCAGCGCAACCACGGATTTCTTATAATTCCAGGAAAGGATCAGGTGCCATGGAGGAGTAAGCATCCGCTACCGATCAGTCACACCCGTCATGTGTTCCTTGTCATGATCGGGTTAACAAAAAATCAGTGGAAAATTCAGAGTTTAGATAATAGCCTAAAGATTAGAGTATGAATAAACAAAAATATTTATTGCTAGAACTTTTTTATTTGGTGTATGAATCACCCAGATGAATGAGTAATAATTTTACAGCTGTCCTAAGTTATAATAATGAGCATCTGAGAGCCGACTCAAAAACGACAGTCAGCAGTCGACTGAATGATTACATTTGTTTATTCAATAAATTATTATTAATAATGACAATAAACTTTATTGTCATTATTAATGATAATTATCGATAATCGAACTTAAGAAATGTTGACTTTAATTGTAAATCCGTATATCCTTGTTTTATCAACTTGTTCGTCAATAGTTTGTCAGAAATTATTCATTTATTTGTTCAATCTTTCAAATTACAATTGAGAAATGGCAAATATAATTGATTTTATATGTGAAAATTTCGTAAAAAGCATGATTTTTCATATAAAATCATTGTTGCGTGATATTATCATGATATTTTGGGAAAAAATGATATACTTGGATACATCAACTTCTTGAGAAATGGCTTGTACGTAAAGCATGTTCTTGCGTGTCGAATTAACTTGGATACATCAACTTCATGTGTAGGTGATAAAAGTAGAGGTATATTTTTTTTCAGAAATAGGGATGAGAATAGAAAAGTAGACGTCATGAAAGTTTTCATAAAGTTTTGTTGTTATGTTACCATTAATGTCACCTCTCTCGTTTTAAGCTAGAGGTACTGTGAGCAATGAGCTCACTAAATGCTACCCCAGCTTCCATTATAATGGCAAAGTCCATCTTTTGCTCTGGGAGACACGAAATATGCGTCCGATCAAAAAGTAAAATAGGAGGTCACAATGACACTATGTAACAAAGATTCTGTGAGAGTCTCTCTAAATTCACTGGTATAAGAAGGAATTGCGGATAAAAGATGGGTACTCAACTGCGTAACAGACGGACAGATGTACAATGGTAAGATTTTGCAGATCGACAAACAGCTGTTAGACAGACGAACGGACATTTGCTCCCAAAAATGATAACGAGGGTGTAATGTATCATGTTTGCAAGACAAGTTAACCTTTGCAGCTACATGCATACAGCCAAACCATATTCAAAAGGCATACAAATATTAAGGTTACCCCTAAAAAGTTATAAAATGACAAGATATTTTGTATCAGACTATCAGTATATATCAGTGTTTATCTCGTCTGTTTTAATTTAATAATTTCATTAAATATCAGTGTAACTAATATGATAAATTCACTCATCTTTATGTCATGTGCTTGAAAGTACTCAAAAAAGGCATATTTCAGCATGTCCTGTAATTTTATCGTCGTTAGTAAATATTAAAACCATACTCGGTGCGCTACCCTGTTTGATAATCATATCAAATGAAGTACCTCGCTGGTAGAAAGATATCACTGCAGACTGCAGTTTCCAGGAAACCATATTTTTCTGAAAATTCTTGCTCGTTCAAACTTGTTTCATCATCCTTTGCATTAATGACCCTTCTTTACAGTAGCAAGTATTTTTACGACATGCCATCAATCAAGCTGTGCCTTTCTAAAGAGCCACTTTGTGGCAAATATGTTTAACATCCATAATTAATAGGTGATAACTGCTGGGAACTGAAGCGCATGACAATGACGTTATGGAAATATAGAACTCTTGTTCTTTCTAACAAAATGACTTTGGATACCCTTATCTGAAGGAGCTTGATATCGGGCTTCACATTGCTCTTTGTTTAATGTTCTTCTCTTATGTTAGCATGTTGCGACATTCTCATGATTTTTTCATTATTGGATACCTTTAAGATAAAAATTCATGTTCCCATATTTGAGTTACTATTATGTGTAATATACTTAAAAAATAAAACTCTCCGACTCTTTTATATTTTTCAAGGTTACTTATGATTTACATTATTCAACAATATTAATTCTAATTGCATTTAATTCTGTAACTGTAGGTACATTTATAAAATGCACTGAGCAATATAAAAAATAGGGTTACAATAAATAAAATACAATTTCTAAGAAAAAACTTATTAGATAAAAAGCATTTAAATTTTAATGAATTTAAATTATATATATATATTTCTGAAAATTTTAATACACTGTAATTTAATTTATTTATATGAACAATATTTTTTTATTTGATACTTTATGTCGATGAGCATAAAATGATAAAATTTCTTTTTCTTTTTAAATTTTTTTAAAAGAAATTTTAGCATTTCATGCCTGTTTTAGTTTCTTATATACTGTAAAAATATTCTACCTTGGGGGTGATCGTAAAGAACTGCGAACGATAGCACTGTTCTCCGGCCTACCTCCGAGTCAATTTTCAAAAGTTAACATATTCGATGGATTTTTGATATTTTTTATAGATAATTTTATGGATTTTCATAAAACAATACTTATTTGGGGAAACAAAGAGAGATAACTCTAAAATTTTGGTAAAACTTGTGTTTTTTACTATAGAAATCAACGGAAAACGGAAAATATTTATAAAACATCCCCCCTCCGTGTCACAAAAATTCCTTTTTACAGGTAATATGGACTGTTATTTCACAAATTCATACTAAAGCTTTTTGTGTGACACGGGGGGGGGGGGGCATATGTTTATTGACAAAAAACGCCAAAAATGCTTATTTTCCACCAATTCCAAAGCGATTTACAACTGAAACATTATATATTATTGATATATATTTATGTTTTATCTATTTGCCTAAAAAAAATATAAGGAACATTTAATTTTTGACATCCAAGACTATTTCAAAATATGGTGATGCTAGAAAGTCCTATTTCTATGGAAAATTTTGTCTACCCCCCTTTTTTCAAGAGCTAGAGGTATGGTTAATTTACTATTTAGCGCTGGTATTAAGACAATTCATCAATTTCCATTTAAATGTTCTTTGTATTAAACAAATAATGTATTGAAAAATTGTCATTTATATTGAATTAAATGGTTACAAAATGTAGGCGGGAATCGAGAGTTAGCGTGCGTATTTCTTTATGTGCCAAGAACAAGCAATTCTCAATAATATATTTACATATATTTGTCCTTGTCGAAATATACAATAAATATCATATTTGTACATGTGCATGTATCAACAGAATGTAATTTATATTATTTATTTTTTTTTTCAATGTAAAATGATTTTTTTTATTAAAAAATCTGTGCTGCATTGTTATTATTTTCTCCTTTAAAAAGTTTGTTTTCATTTTTTTTCCTTATTGAGTGCAAAAGTAATCATAGCAATGATGTTAAAATTTAAGAAATAAGAATTTAAGAACAAAAAAATTATTTCCATTGAATTTTGCTAAATTTCATAATATTAAACAGAAAGTAAGGATGATAATCAAAATAATTGCATGTACGATGAAAATAAAATATTAATGGCAATAAATATTCACTTTATATAGAAGTTTTTTTTTACTTCCCTTTTCATGTATTTTTTTTTTACTTTAAAACAAACAGGGTCATACTTTAATACAAAAGAAATTTTTAACCGAATAAATCATGAAATGTCTAAAATATTCTCATTTCTGCAAAACAAACATGTTCTTATTCCCCTTAGTAACGGTAAATAAGAAACCATATGGCGTGGCAATGAAATATAGCTAAATGTGTCTGTAAATGGCGGGGTGAGAAAAGATTCAATGTATTTTCCTGATATTTTCAAGTTTCTTCATTTCAGGTTATAGCATAAATCTTTCAATCACTTTCATGATTTAATATACGTAAATGTTCTTTGGGCCTATTTACTAAGCAAAAGAAGGTACTCATATTTTAAAAAGAGATTGATTTGATTAATAAACAAGTATATACTGACAAAAAGTCAGAGATACTCAAGCTGTAGAAAATCAACTAAGAAAAGTCATTAATATCCTAAAATGGTATAATGTGGGCTATTGAGTTCAATCTTCTATTGAATTATATACATGTACATGAAACAAAATTCATATAATGAAGTTAATTAGAATAAATATAATTTATCGTACTATACGATGAATTTACGTTACTCACTTTCAGGAATATTTTATAGAGTATAGTAGACGTTTCTTGAATTAATAAAATATTTTTTATGTAGACATTTCATATACTTCAAACTATACGCTTTTTTAATTTTGCTTAATGACGTACATAAAAACATGTTATAAACATCAATCTAAATAGCTTGTTGCAAGTCGGAAGAAAAAAAGGGCTCCAAAAAGCCACGTAATTACCGGTATACGGGTACATTTAACTGTGCGGCATGTACAGTACATATCGAATCCAAAAGAAGTTATTTAGGTTCCGTTACCAAAGCTGAAGAAATACGATTTTTTAAAATAAAAAAAAACGTATGAGGGAGAAATTAACATTAATTTTGCGCTATTATTTTACTGTCACTCAAAGTGCACATCATTTTCAGTCCCGTTATAGGCAATTTCAGTTTGGGGGTACAGCCATACATTTTTTTGCTACGCATTGTAAAACTTTGACAGATAATAATGTATCTTAGTGTAGTCTACTTGTGAAGTTATGCCAAGTTATATTGAAATCAGACCAACACTGCGAGAATAAGCGTTTCGAAAAATTGTTAAGAGAAGGACAATTAGAAATGGGGTAATCTGCGTCACCTTTCAGAGTAACCAGTGGACTCGTCCAAGGATGCTTTGTCGGCAACTGTAAAAAGTACCTGAGATTCCTACGCAAATGAAAGCGCGAAATCTCTGTATAGAAACTGTTGCAGCTGCGACGCTTCACTCATTGTTCATACGCTGTAGAATAGAATCCGACTTTTAACACTTAATATTTTTGAATATACAGACGTTTTCAACATAAGCTTCATTTTTGTTTCTAGAAATATGTTTATCTACAAATATGATATAATTTCGTGTTTTTAAACTGAGTAAATCGATGACCTAGCATCGTTTTAGATAACTCAAGCCCCTCTAGGGCTTGAGTAAAAAATTCATGGGTCAGAAAAGCATCACAGTTTATTTATTATGATTGTATATTGAACTTTAAAACTCTTCTCATAACAGATTAAAAATATCTAAATAAAAAAATACAACTTAGTGTATCTTACTATGTAAAATAAATGAATATATTGACAAACGAAAAAACAAACAAACAACAATCGAACGCGACGTTCGATACACATGGCTCAAATACAAATTCTGATACGATGCATAATCTCCTTATATTTTTACTCAAGCCCTAGAGGGGCTTGAGTTATCTAAAACGATGCTAGGTCATCGATTTACTCAGTTTAAAAACACGAAATTATATTATATTTGTAGATAAACATATTTCTAGAAACAAAAATGAAGCTTATGTTGAAAACGTCTGTATCTTCAAAATTATTAAGTGTTGTTAAAAGTCGGATTCTATTCTACAGCGTATGAACAATGAGTGAAGCGTCGCAGCTGCAACAGTTTCTATACAGAGATTTCGCGCTTTCATTTGCGTAGGAATCTCAGGTACTTTTTACAGTCGCCGACAAAGCATCCTTGGACGAGTCCACTGGTTACTCTGAAAGGTGACGCAGATTACCCCATTTCTAATTGTCCTTCTCTTAACAATTTTTCGAAACGCTTATTCTCGCAGTGTTGGTCTGATTTCAATATAACTTGGCATAACTTCACAAGTAGACTACACTAAGATACATTATTATCTGTCAAAGTTTTACAATGCGTAGCAAAAAAATGTATGGCTGTACCCCCAAACTGAAATTGCCTATAACGGGACTGAAAATGATGTGCACTTTGAGTGACAGTAAAATAATAGCGCAAAATTAATGTTAATTTCTCCCTCATACGTTTTTTTTTTATTTTAAAAAATCGTACTTTTTTCAGCTTTGGTAACGGAACCTAAATAACTTCTTTTGGATTCGAACGGAATATGTACTGTACATGCCGCACAGTTAAATGTACCCGTATACCGGTAATTACGTGGCTTTTTGGAGCCCTGAGCCCCCCCCCCCCCCCTCCACTTTGAAAAACTTTTCTTCCGACTTGCAACAAGCTATTTAGATTGATGTTTATAACATGTTTTTATGTACTTAAAAAAGCGTATAGTTTGAAGTATATGAAATGTCTACATAAAAAAATATTTTATTAATTCAAGAAACGTCTACTATACTCTATAAAATATTCCTGAAAGTGAGTAACGTAAATTCATCGTATAGTACGATAAATTATATTTATTCTAATTAACTTCATTATATGAATTTTGTTTCATGTACATGTATATAATTCAATAGAAGATTGAACTCAATAGCCCACATTATACCATTTTAGGATATTAATGACTTTTCTTAGTTGATTTTCTACAGCTTGAGTATCTCTGACTTTTTGTCAGTATATACTTGTTTTTTCTCTTTTAGATATCATATGCGTGCCAGTCTTAGAGTATGTTTGTAAAATTTTCTTATTAATTAGCAGGAGGAATTAATTTTCATCGAGAACTATGTAGGGGACAAAGTGTGAAGACTCTTTGTCGTTTCGTGTGGTACTAATTTAATTTCCGAGATTTCACTTAACTTATTACGGAATTAAGAAGTCCATTCTGTTGTCTCATAAAGTAAGTGTTTCATTTCCGGAACTGCTTTGAAAGAGTCTGCTGGTACTCCATTGTGAAGATCTTTTAACAATCTAACGTTGTGGGCTAAACATCCGAGTCCAAATTTAATTTTCCCTTCACACATTGCAAACAATGCAACTGTCTGTAGCACGTGGGACTAAGCGTGAATTACGAAATTAATTGTAACCGAATGAAAAATGTTATCATTGCACAAAATAAAAATAACGATAGTCTAAATGACTTGGTATTGGTACTGATGGGTAAATCATTGACCTTTGACCTTCTCCGTTAGAATAAATCCGCTTCCCATCCTTTATAAGCAATGTCACATCTGCTTTTTTGGCAGTGTTTATACACGTTTGTTCCTGGATTTGCCGCCGTTTTGTCTTGTATCGTCTGTTCTGAAACCATATTTTGATCTGTGTCTCCGTCAGTTTCAGGGTATTGGCCAGATCGGTCCTTTCCGGGCCGGACAGGTAACGCTGGTGCCGGAAACGCCTCTCCAACTCGAAAACTTGCGCATGCGAAAATGCTGCTCTTGATCTTTTCTTCCTTGGTTTACATGGTAGGATCTGTTTTATTTGAACTTCGTCCAGTCTTTCACTTTTTTCTAAAATAACAAATCATATTGGTTTGTGATACCAGTGTAAGAAATTGCAAGTAACTTTATTACCATAAATTTATGAACATTTTGGTGTTTTTTTTTCATTCTAAAAGACAAAAGAAAAATCCTAAATACATGTATATGATTAATCCACTAAAGATACAAAAAGGCTACTTAAAAGAATGTTTGCCAATAAGATTTGTAACTTACGGTTTTGTAAGGTTTCTTGGTTGGGTTCTGTCTCTCGGGGTACTTTATCGGGGAGTTCAGGTTCCACGTCGGATGCCCAAACAGAAGTTACGTGTGACTTTATGGACCCTTCTGAGTCCGAACCTTCCACATCCACACAATCGTCAGACTCCGGACTCTCAGAACTGAGGCATAGTTCCACACCTTCGCTGAAAGACCTTTCCTCAACTTTTTCTTCATTCTTTTTAGTCTTAGAAAATACACTTCCACTAAGAATATTTTCAATTGTAAAAGGTGTATTTTGAAGTCCTTGCATTTTTCAAAATAATGAATTTGAACCACAGCAATATATTTCACAAAGTCTGTTAATTTTTCTAATATTGTCCCAAGGTACTTTAGAAGTAAATTGTGTATTGCATATTTATTTTCAGAAATAGCCATAACCGCGCCCCCTCGCTTTATCTGTTTTCCGATTGGTTCAACGTCTCACTAAAAGGGATTTATATAATGTTAGAGATAAGATGGAAGTAATCGAAATCCAGAAGGGTGAAAAAGTTTCAAAACGTCAAAATTATAGGCCTTTTCTCCTTCGCAGACGGTTAGGGATCACAAATGTTCAACATTTCCCTTCTGGAAGAAAACTAAAATAAATATAAATCATTTGATGATCGTGGGATGAAAGTCGGAAAACAGACAAGCAGGTTTTTAATAAAGTGAGGGTATAATTTACAAGAACAATTTGTAATGGATTAATAAGTGTTGATTAAAATCCTAATCCTCCAGGGTTAATTTGTTTACAATTTGTAGAGATTGTTCCACAACAGACGCAGCATGTGATATAAACAATTTATCTTGGAAACAATTTACAGAATTTCTCTGTGTATATTTCTAACTTGCAATAATGAAGATATCTCGACAAACTTTCAATCCCATTCTCTAAGTGTTGTTTGGACAAATTAGCGGCCGTCGCTTTTCCTGTTTTAAAAACTTCTTCGAAAAATAAAACTATGATAGTTATCAGGTTTTTCCCTTTAGGTGAAGATACTCTAAGGGGATGCCAGTACACATGTCATTTTGATAGACGTATAAACGAGTCAATTCCAAACGGTGAGTGCCGTGTCTCAATGTCAATAGATTATCATCAAGTAAGTGGGAGGTCAGCGCGAGGTCCCGAACCTTTCCCGACAAATTCCGAACTCTTAGACATGCAGGATCAGAGAAAGGGCCAAGCAATCAGATAAGAGTCGTAGTGATTCTATAACGAGCACTTGTCGTTTTATTCTAAGTATTTATCTGTAAGAGCGCGTATTAGAGTCATGGTATTATGTAATAGGGATTGCACTTTTCGTGCCAAAGTTCTATATAATTTTTGTATCTTATAAATGAATAAATTGCAGAAATCATGGAAGTTCAGTCATAATATTTTGTTATTAATTTTGTGTCAAACATTGTGCCAAAGTTCTATGATTTTCATAGTTTTTAAATGAGTAAATTGCAGAAATCATGGAATTCAGTGCTTCTGAATTTGATAATGCAAATCTTAGAGCTTTTTTTTTTTTTTTTCAATTTTCAATCAATTTTGTGATAGAATGTAAAATTTTCTTCCTTTGAATTAAGTAATTTTTAAAAAGAAATTAATGACTTGAACAAGGATATAAATATTCATTAATTGTTTTAATTTGAAAAGTTTCCGTTTTCAAAATGTGTATAAATCAAACAGTTTAAACTCTTGAAAGATCACAGATTATCGTTTACAAACCTATAAATTTGTTTTAATGATGACATCTAATGCCTCTTGTTAGTTTCAGCGGACGGGAAGCATCCCGATAGATGTTTCTTCCCGATTGTGAGTATTCAGCATAGAATTTTATTCACCTCGGCCCTGTTATCACATGATTACGACATAGGGAAGGCAGTGGATTTCATCTTACTTTAACCAGATGCAGATTACATGGACCTTTCGCTGATTTTTATTTGGCTAATCAACAACTCTAATTACATTGAGTAGGCAAATAATCGCTTAAGCGTCAATTAAGCCTGTGAAACTGTTAATTGTGACGGCTTTAATGGAAGCTGAACAATTTCCAGATAAGGGCGAGTTCGAATTTATAAAAGTAAAATGCTAAAGGCATATCGTAACTTTTGATATACATGTACTCAGCACTTGAAAACTCTGGTCGTCGGACATTACTGTTTCATACTATGTTTAAATTGATACTTGAATTTATAAACAGGATAGGTGTTGCAGGTTTCGTTTGAAAAAAAAACCTCAACCTTTTCCAACAAGTTTTTTTAATCACTCCTGATACTACGTGTCAGTGAACGTTGCATCTGGACCAGATCGACAGTGTATACTAATAAAATGTACAGAAGCAGACAAAAGAACTCAAAATACCTTTCGTTTACCTTTTGCTTTGATTTTGAACAGATATATGTATGTTCGTAATGCAAGCACTAAGGACTGCTAAAAACTTACAAAGTATCATAAAAGACAAGTACAAGTACATTTTATTTTATAAGTCAAAATTGATTTACAGAAAAAAATCATACGAGAATATGAACAAATATTCAAAAACAAGTCTAAAACACATATCTTCCATGCTTAGTTAACTTGATCCCCACTTAAAATCGCGCTGGAGGACAAACGTCTTGGAGGTCTATCAGAAAACCCGAGCCGGTGTAGTTTCAATATTTCCGGCATTAAAATGTCCAATATTTTGTCATCAATTGGATCAAATAAGATTACTGTGAGGACCGAATTGCTTAAAAGCACCTGTAAATATTTAGATAAATCTCATTGTCAACACTTCTTTGTTACTCTTAGATTAAAAATTTCAAAAAGGTATCAATTAAAATATATTCTGCTTTCTATTTAAGGCTTTGTCATATCAAGGGTTAGAAAAATCAATCTGTTTTCACTTTTGCATTAAGCAGATGTCCTGTTAATTTGGGAACATACCACTATCGCTACTCGTAAATCGCCCTCTCTTGTTTTATTCTAGATGTGTATTAAAGAATTACTCTGTTGTTTTGATTATCATTTCAAAAAAGCTCCAAGACTGCAGAATATTGCACTGTTATAATATCATAAACAAAATTTAAGATGGAAACATGACCTACAAATTTTTTTTATGCAAGGTACAATTGTCAAAATTGTATTTCTGTAAAAAATGATTTATTAAATGAAATTTTTTAGCTCATCTTTCTTTGCGAATAAACCATTCTCAGAAATATTTGATTATCTGTCGGAGTAAGTCTTGCTAAAATAGCTGTTAACCCTTGTATTTAAACGTGTGTCTTAGTAAAACTATTCGAAGTTTACTCTGAGATTTAAGGAACAAGGAAAACGTACCCATCTGATGAATCATGTGTGGAACTTCCTTAGACTACTTTGGGGTATTGCTGTGGGGGCTATCAACTCAAAGCTATCCCACGAGCGCCTACCCGGGGTGGCGGATCATTATAAGCGTCAAGGTCATACCCTAAGTCAACAGACGTCATTTGTCATTTACTCTCAAAGAATGTGTTTGTAAAATAAAGATTCGTGGATTATGTCGAAGGAGATGTTCTAAATCGTTAATATGTCTGCAAACAAATCATTAGTAATAGAACAAAGATACAAAGTATCACGAGATATTATCTATGATTATCATTTTTGCAGAATTTTACAGGTGCTCCTTTCGCATTTCACAAGTTACACGAAAATCTTAAATGTGTTCATTTGTGAATAGTCAAAGACATTTTTTTGCTGGTGTGTGAATTGTATTTAACTTAAATATGATTAGAGGAAACACAGGCACTTGGGGTATGGACCCCCCCCCCCTTTCAATTTTTTTTTATTTTTTTTAAATCTGGGTTCGACTCACCTTTTTCCTATTTTTCTATTCTAATATGCATATACGATATCGTATGTTATCAATAATGTAACTCTCTATAAGCTGTTGTTAAATATATCGTTTTCGATTGATACATAATCTCTTATTTATCTCTCTATGATCCAAGTGCCTGTAAGAGGAAACTCCATTATATTGTTATGTTGTAATCAAGAAATTTATCATAAAAATCTCAAGTAAAAGATTAGGAAAATATCCATTGACGTGTTATCTCCGTGCGATTTTTTTTATATGATTAAAAAAAAACATAAACACACACACAACCGATGCATTGTTTCACAACATTATGTGTTTTATCCCATCTCGCCTTAACTGTAAAATTTAGCATTCCCATTTCGCCTTAGTAAGCTCTCAGGTGAATTAAGGTGATGAAGATTTAATATATTTATCATAAAGTATTTTTTTTTTTAAAAATGGTATTACATGTATTACTTCATTCTCTGTATTTATAAATTCCCAATAACTGTTAAATTCAATCTAAAAAAAAATATCATTTAAATTATCATAATATTTACAAATACTAAAATTCCCATTTAGTACTTTTCAACTTTTTCTCACCTGAATTTCACAGTTAAGGCGAAATGGGAACACACCCATTATGTCACTCAATGTAAATTCTCTCATCTGAATTCATTAAAATTTTAAGGCATGAAGGATATTATTCTAAAAGTAAAAATTTTGATAAATAAATTTTATTCAGTTTAAAAAATATATATTTTTGGCGGCAGGATTAATGTTTTTTCCCAAAAAGAAAGTTTTGAATTTACTCATTCAATGAACAAATTTAATATTATGTTTAAAACATTAATTGATAGCAATGAATTAAAAAACATCCTGATTTAATACCCGAGACATTTTAATTTGTATTTAATTTTAATCTCCGGGCAATTCAGTGTTATGATTTTATCCAGTAGCAAGTGGATAATGAATAATAAAAAAAAATCAATAATAATAAATAAAAGCTATGTAAATCGCAAAAAAATCATCTTAGATATTCGTATGAACCAAAATCGCTACTTAATATTATAATTTTAAAATTAAAAAAAAAGATCAAGATCTAGTAAGTGAAAGGTGTCTACAGATCTATCAAATTTGAGAAACGAGTTCTTTTAATGACACTTTACAAATATAACTTGGTAAAATAAGGTTTTTCCGAATAAGATTTTTTGATAAACTAGACGAAAAAACATGTTTCAAACAGTAATTTTTCAACGAAAAACAAAGAAAGTCAGATAAAAATTTAGGAGTTTTTTCCGTCTTAGTTAAAAGAAAGGTAGCAGTATTGCCTACCGGCTCTCAGAAAACGTTTTGTATTTTTTTTTCTAAACCTCTACTTCAAAATGATATTAAATTGAATATACATGTATATATCGGGGTTACTTTTGGCATGGTTTCAATTTAAATACAATGTAAATGCTTCATTTTCTACATAATTTCTACACATCTGTAAAGTACGGGAAAAATTATGCTTAAATCAATCATGACGTCATAATGGATCTACCACCAAAAAGACAGTCATTTACTAGATCTTGACCTTAAATCAGTTATGACGTCGTTACAAGTCAACGTCATGAACAATAACGTGACATCACAAAGGTTAAAACTGCGAATTTCGGGTAAAAAGATTCCGGCTTTAGCGAACACAGCAAGAAAAATGTCAGTCAGAAGGAAGATTTTTTGTTTCGGTGGAGTGGATGCTCTTTTGACCAGTGTTACCACATACAAACTTGCGGATTACATGATCTGGTAAATATCTGCTTGTCTTGTATTTAATTTCAAGAATGAAGAATTTCGTAAAACAATAATAATAGACCTTTTGTTCAATTTCTTAGAACTTAGGTAAGGGAAATAAATGTTAACTAATAGACGATTCTCCATTTTAGTCGTGAACCCGATCCATCATTCCTGGAGACAATTCTTCAAACTCTTGGTTTGCAAAAAGTCCCCGAACCCGTGTGTCCAACGTCGTATGGAGTCATACTGGTATGGTGTTCTGTATTTCATTCCGATATGATAATTAAAAGCTTATATCTTTTTTTAGTACACATGTCACCGAAACTGCGTTTCACATATTTTTATACTTATTTTCGAGAATGTACGATATATGTATTGAGTGAAACAAAAATATATATGTATATATATATATATATATATAGAGAGAGAGAGAGAGAGAGAGAGAGAGAGAGAGAGAGAGAGAGAGAAATTGCAATAAAAAATATCAATTTTTACCATTTCTGTGGTAGTTTTACCATATACTATTTAATATGAATTTTCTAAATCGTGGCTTTGTTTCAGGTTGTCGTCGGATGGATTGTTATGCAGCTAATTTTTGTAGTTTTCTGCAGAAAAAAGAGTGTTGTGAAGGTAAGTATATCAAAACATATCAGGATTTTATGCGGTATGCTTAATTTTTGTAACTCCAACTGTTTAAGAGAATAGCATACAGTATATAACGGCATGGTCCAAACAGGAAAGCTCACATTAATTACGGAGCACCTTTTTGGGTAAAACTTCATTTTTCAATCTCTGTTTCTACACGTAGATACAAATTAATTTATTTTCTTGATATGTGTTATCATCGCTCATACAAAAAATTAAGAGTTGTCTTGGTAACGTACTTAAATTATTAATTTATTTATTGCAGGACACAATGGTTCAGAGTGTACAAAATTCCAAATCTGATACAAGTGATGTATCCGTTGCATCGCCCATAGATGCCATTGGTGCCCCTGAAAATGTCAGGGCCAGTGTTTCAGAGGGAATAATTTTCTTCAATGAAGTCGAATCTGTAGATATTGGCAGTGTGAAAAAGAATGTGATCGAAAGGATAAGCAATTCAGAGGGTGTAGTTTTCTTCAATGAAGTTGAATCTGTAGACAATAGTATTGTAGAGGGGAAAGTGATCGAAAGGTCAAGTGTTTCAGAAGGTACAGTTTTCTTCAACGAAGTTGCATCTGTAGACATTGGCAGCGTGGAAAAGAATGTAATCGAAAGTGTTTCAGAGGGAAGAATTTTCTTCAATGAAGCTGAACCTGTAGGCATTGGTAATGTGGAAAAGAATGCATTCGAAAGTGTTTCAGAGGGAAGAATTTTCTCCAATGAAATTGAACCTGTAGGCATTGCTAGTATGGAAAAGAATGTAATCGAAAGTGTTTCAGAGGGAAGAATTTTCTTCAGTGAAGTTGAACCTGTAGGCATTGCTAGTATGGAAAAGAATGTAATCGAAAGTGTTTCAGAGGGAAGAATTTTCTTCAATGAAGTTGAACCTGTAGGCATTGGTAAAGTAGAGGAGACAGTGGTCGAAGATGTATATTCTTCGTCTGATGATACGGCAGGTTACGCGTCAGATGATTGCAACACTGATACTGATTCGGAAGTTGAATCTTTACGCTTAGAATCGGAGAGAGAAACTTCAAATGCATCTATTAGCAACATCATCACTAAGCATGATTCAGAAGAATCACCAGAGAAAGATTTAACCATCATCCAAGAAAAAGATAACCAAACTGAGTCGATTCAGTCTGCAAACACAAAAGATGATTTGGAAGAAACAAAAGTATTGAATCCATCAGTTGCATTAGAGCAAAACGCCAATGTCTCAAGACGAGACATAGATGATTATTTCGAGGATAATGTTGATCTGGAGTATGCTTCAGATTTTGCCGAAGAAACCACGGAGTCCGATGATGACGTCCTATTGGTTCCAACGAAGACTAGTGCAGATGAGGGTAATCTTAACCGAAATGATAGGCCTGAGTGGAGTCAAACTGATTTGCATTGTTTGGATGTCGGATCTGTCAAACAACACAGGGATCCCTTAACGGAGAGCGGAGAGGAAGAAGTCACACGACTCGAAACTGTCAGCGTATTGCAGAAACTAGAGGAAACTAGTGACCATCTGTCTTGTCAAAATCCTACACAGAACAAACTGTCTGGTGTGCACAAGGAGGAGAAAAAAGATGAAGCTCGAAGTTTTCCTGGAATGAGAAGTGAATCTGATTTTGGATACACATCCGATCTGTCTGACGATGAAATGACTCAGGAGTCAGGAGGTAGTGGGAGTGAAACAGATCCAGAGCTGGAAGCTATTTGGCTGTCTTCTCTTGAAGTCGACGCTAACATACGCTCATCCTCAACACCGAAGACAAATGTGGATGTATGCAGACCCTCGATTAATGAAGATTTTTTCGACTCCAAAGGATATGGAATAGAAAAGAAGGATACTAATTCTGAAGATGAGTTACAGCTATCGTCAACATCCTCTGAGAGTGAATGCACTGAATCTTCCTCTTCCGGTGTCAATTCCAACATGAAAGGATCTTGGCGGCGAAATTTTACAGAGGATATCGATCCCAATGATGAATACTTGGTGCGTTATGAGAAATCAGATGATTCCGAAGATGAAACTGATGTGTTGATCAAAGAACGAAGACTTCCAACATTAGCTGATGATTTTGCAGATCAGTCAAGTGCACCATTTGAGAGCTGTGCTCAAACTGATACAGATATAAATCTGTTTGAGAACGTTCCAAGGTGTGTAGGATGTGGAAGTTACTTTGCTACATGGAGAATTAGAAATTGTGCAGCTTGTCGCAAACCTCCTAAGCATCCTAATATATGCTCAAATAAGAAGAAGAAACTTCTTCGTAAATAAGATATTTGAAATTCATCTTATCACAAGTTTAAGATTCAACAATTTTTCGCCATGGTCAAAAGCGTCACAAACTGATTCAGTACTAGAATATGCATTTAATATTTAAAATGTACATGTATTATAGGCATGAGATCAAATCTTTGCTCTCCAATAAAAGATCTTTATGTTGCCTTTCGTTGAAGTTTCAATAAACACATTTATATGAAGAAAATTGTGGCGTCCAGGGGCGTAGCTTGACTTTAATTTCTAGTGAGGCAAAACTATTGTGGCCGGGGGTCTGGGTGGATTTTAAAATGTAAAAATAATACTGTCCTGGGCAGAAATTTCGCCCCCCACCCCCCCCCCCGTTTTATAACTTTAGCATTCATCAGTTCAGATGACACTGCATGTACGTACTGAATTTAAACGTATTTAAGGTTTAAAAAAATGCTTTTTTCGAACTTCTAACACATTTTTTAAAATATCTATATATTAATTTTGGCATCATTTGGAAAGATACTAGTAAAAGAATCATTCACTAGCTTACAGGGTTTTTGAAATTTATGACGTTCATTATAATTTCTAGACTTTCATTTTTTCCTTTTCTTAGAAAGGATGTCAACTGCGTCTATCCCCCTTTGTTTGCCGATTATTTTTCCACAAAAAATACTTTTACGTTTTAGAACAGAGGCACTTGTTTTTGTAAAAAAGTTTTGACCCATAGTATAATAATTATACCCTCCGCTTGAAAAGCGGGAGGGTATATAGTAATCATTAATTCCGTCCGTCCGTCCGTCTGTACGTCCGTCCGTCTGTTACGCTTTGGGGTACCCATCTCTTATCCGCAACTCCTCTCATACCACTGAATGAATTTTGATGAAACTTTCACAGAATCTTTATTACATATTGCCATTGTGCACCTCCTATTTTACTTTTTGATCCGACACATATTTGGGTTTCCCGGCAACAGGAAAACATTTTTCACCAGTTATAACCATGTGGGAGGCGGGGGGTATCATTTAATGAGCTCATCGCTCACAGTACCTCTAGTTTAGTATACTATGGCCATCTTCGCTAGCCAAGGGTTTCTGCATATCAGAAACCCTTGGCTAGCGACGATGTACTATGGGTCAAAACTTTATTACAAAAACAAGTGCCTGTGTTTTAAAAATAGAACCCGATCTCGTGAATTTTGAACTAGAACATACTGATATGAAAGTACAATAATTTCTTGATTTGTCTAAATGATAAATAAAAACAGTTACGTTTTTTTAAAAAAACAAATAAATTATTTTCTGTGATGTATTAAATTACGGGAAAGGGGTGTTGCTGAAAAATCTAGTGAGGCAGTTGCCTCATTGCCACAATGGAAGCTACGCCCCTGGGCGTGCTTTTAATTTAGAAGTTTGTGAGATTAACACATTTACATGTATACATGTATAGTGTGTATTGTCTCTAGAGCTGATATCCGTAGACATGGTCTTCCCAATTCCTACCTCATCTGTTGCTAATGTCACCTTTATTTGCAGGTCACAATACATCTATTTTTAATTTGGAAAATATGAAATATAAATCTCCAATAGAAAAAAGAATCATGTATATCCTCCTTCAATGGAAGTATTTAAGAAATGGAGATAGGTAAAAAAAAAAATTAAGAATTTCTTGGGCAGAAAAACTGAAATTGGGATTTTGTGGATTCAAGATTGGTTACATCATGACCTCTGGATTAGCGTAGGGTCACTATTGGTATAGACATAATTTAGTTTTACATAGGAATACATTGGGAAATGTTTTAAAATCTACTGAACAGCAAGTCATAATTATTCATACATGTTTATAAATAGAATCATCATTCAAGTTTGTTCAGATCAAGACCCCTTGGCTTAGGGTTGAACCACAACCGACGATCCAACTTTTACAGAAGAAAATCCTGAAAATTCTTATCATTAACAGTAAAAACACAATCATATTTGTATGAAAGCATCTTCAAGTAGTGTAGACTCAGTTTTGTTTTGAAAAATGCCCCTGGAAGGGTGTGGCCAATATGGTCGATAAAAGTTTAACAAGGGAACGCGTAGACAATTTCTTTAAAAAATTCTACGGCTCAAGAAGCGAAGTCAGTATTAGTCATGGCTGTATCGATACATACTCAGGTACATTAAGTAGTCTAATTCAGTTTTGGGCAAATCATGATCCCTGATGTAGGTGGGATGGGGCGAGGAAACTGATACAGGAAACCGATTTGATGCTCTGTCAACTGCTATCCAAAAGTCTCTGTCGAGACTGTACCTCTACTGGTTTATACTTATAACAAAGGAAGAGAAAAGTAGCAGTTGGGACTTGAAACTTTAAACAGCAATAAATAGAAAAATAATCCTTGATTAATTCACTATTTCTAGCATTATTGCAGTAAGACTACAACTGTAGGAGTAGCTTTTAATAAAATTTTAAAGAATTTTCAATTTTAGTTACTATGGCAACACCAGTCATCAAAATAAATTTTAAAAAAAATAGTCTATCTGCATGCCACATTATATTAGAAACAAATAAAAACTGTATTTGTAAAAGCATTTTAAAATTATTTTACAGAAATTTCTATTTTTAGTAACCACGGCTACACCTTTCATCGATATCAAAAATCGATGCACAGAATTATGTATTTTCGTATAGTCTACTTGTATGTCAAGTTATATTGAAATCCGACCAAAACTGTAGGAGTAGTAGCATTTAGAAAGAATTTCACAGAAATTTCTATTTTTAGTAACTGCATCGCAACACCGTTCATTGAGATCAAAAACCAATGCATAGAATTATGTATCTTAGTATAGTCTACTTGTGTGCAAAGTTATATTGAACTTAGGTTACAGTCATGGTCACAAGGTCATTGACCTTGTTGGTATTTGAAAGAACTTAATTAGTTGAGAATGTATATCAAATATGAAGTCTTTATCTCCTTTGGTTCAAAAGTTATGTCGAAAGTTCGAAAAAGCTATTTTTAGCATATAGGTCACAGTCAAGGTCACAATGTCATTGACCTTGGTGTCAGTTGAAAGTACTTAATTAGTTGAGTATGCATACCAAATATGAAGTCTCTATCTCTCAAGTTTCAAAAGTTTTGACGAAGGTTAAAGTTGACAACAGACAGATAAACAGACAAACAGACAGACAGGACAAAAACAATATACGCCCCGAATAAATTCGGGCGCATAACAAAAGAAATCAAAACAAAACTTAAAAACCTCTTTCCTTCCTACATATCTTATCTACACTGCACTTTACATGGTATTCCTGAACGTTACCCCCCCCCCCCCTTTTCCCCTTACTTTATCATTTTTGGTATTTTGCTTTATCAGTTTTGCGCTTGAAAATATAACAAACGAATGAATCAAGATGCAGCCCCCTCGAAGGACAGATCTCTCCCCAAGTTTATTTTTTTTTTTTGAAGGGGGGGGGGGGGTTGTAGCAGACAATAAAATTGGCACATTTTACATGTTTTGTTGTAGGAAAAATCTATTCATTAATATGAGTTGTGAGAACAATATCATTATATGAAACATTTTAGTCACTGTGTTATAAATATAAGAGACACTGATATTCAAGCAAAATAGCTGTACATTCAGTTTATTGATAATTAATAAAGCGTGTATATTCACGATAACAAAAGAGAGAGAGAGAGAGACAAGTAAAAAGTTGAGGTGGAAGAGTATCATTATAATTATATGTTTATTGTAAAATTGAAATATCAAGTAAAACTTTACCATTTATCTAATAAGTAGATGGTAGGATAAATTCATTAAGATTCTTTCGAGATGAAAAATAATTTGAATTCAAATCACCACTGCATATTACGTGCGTAAAGGTAAACTGAGAATATAATACACTGTACAAGTAACAGCTTTTTAAAAAGCTTGCCTGACTAAATCAATCAATCTATCTGCATGAAGAGTGATAACCCTTTTGAGCAATACTTTGTGGGTTTAAAAAAATATCCTAACTTAATATTTTGAGAACCTTATGTAATTGAAATCTTGATTTTACTGAACTTGTAGAAGAATCATCTCTACACTGCATACTAAAGAACTTTGTAGTTGAAGGGGGGGGGGGGGGGGGTCTGCAAGTGGAGTGATCTAAATTGATTTCAAACTACATTGTAACACCTATTATAAAATCTGTTATCAAATCACGCATTGTGAATATTTTAAAAGATGGATATAATTAAAAACACATTTTGTTGGAATGTATTTTCTCCTCTGAAGTAAACAGTAGTAATGTGTGTTCATTATTTTTTTTCTTAAAAGGGAAGGGTGATGACACTATCATATAATACTTGATATATTGAGAATGAAATAAGTAAATTCAATAGTTAGGCTTTGTAGAAAGAAATATCCAAGATTATTCACTATTTTTTTATTTATCGTGTGCATCTGAACAAAGAACTGTAATAAATCATGCATCTGGAGACGATGGCTTGAACTGCGTTGTTTATTATTATTGGACTCGTCCATTTATGGATTAAACTAACCGCGGGATCGGTAAACAAATTAGAAACATCACTACTTTAGTGTTACATTTCCATATACCATGTATACTGATGTATACGATATGTTGTTTTAAAGAATGGTATAAAACTTGTAGATAGAATTTCTAAAGCATTAGAAGAAAGTTAAAAGGACAAACTTTATTTAATTCTATGGAAGTTAGCACACCCATTCATACAATAGAACAATCCAAGGAAAAGGCGCGAAGATAGCTTACTAGTGACATTTGGCGCGAAAAGAGCTATTCACCCCTTTCGTAGAATATAAATGGACTGATCCAGTAGTATAGAAATGCAGAAAAAAGGATACACGGACATGTTGAAACGGCAAATCATATGGAATAATCTGTTCCATGCAAAAAGATTATAGGAAGTAAACACTGCAGTATTTCGCATCAGTAATATCTTTCTTCTACTGATTCTGATGATTAAGATTATTCTTATTATTCTTTTTTTTTCCTTTTCCTAGACGCCAACTTTGAGGCCTCATATTTCACTCATTTCTCAATTTTATTTTGCTCAAATTTTCAGACTTTATAAACGTTACTAAACTCTATCAGAATTTTGTCTAGTTTTCCAAAAATTCACTTCCGGTTTTCAGTTATTTCCCTTTAAACGAAAATTTATAGGCTTTCATTTCCAGACAAAGGCTCGGAGATGGCAAAACCTGG